CCTAAAATTGGGGGAGTCGGGGAGTGGCAGTGAGGCAGGGTACAGCCTTCGGCTTGAGGTATTTCCCAGGCACTGTTCTGGACACCCCGGCCCTGGTTCCAGCTCTGGGCTGTGGTGAAGCCATCGTAATGGTGGCCCCTTGCTCCTGGAGCAGTTAAAACAGTACATTCTTGGTGCCAGTAGGCACCTCCTGATTCCTCAACTTCTCAATTGTAGGAGAGGTAGCTGGGTCCTGGGGCATGCCTGTTCTTGAGTATTTTCTTGAGTCATTTCCGCAAACCCAGGCCAGAGCCCACTTCTCCAGGTCTTCCAATTGCTAAGGAGTTTTTTTAAGCATTTTTGAAAACCATAATTACATCAGTTTTCAGTATACTCAGTATCTCTAAAAAAGAATAGCTTAAAACACAACCTCAATATCGTTATCACACCTAAAAAATTAACAATAACTCCTTAACAGAATAAAATATTCAGTCAGTATTCAAATTTCCAACTGTCTCATAAATGTCATTAAAAATGTTTGCGGCACCTGCCTGGCTGACTCCATTGGTGGAGCACGTGACTCTTGATCTTGGGGTTGTGAGTTCAAGCCCCATGTTAGGTGTAGACATTACTTCAAAATAAAAAATATTGGGGCACCTGGGTGGCTTGGTTGAGTGTCCAACTTTAGCGCAGGTTCATGAGCCCCACATCGGGCTCTCTGCTGTCAGCACAGAGCCCACTTTGGATGCTCTGTCCATTTCTGTACCTCCCTACTCATGCTCTCTCTCAAAAATAAACAAAAGGGCGCCTGGGTGGCTCAGTTGGCTAAGTGTCCGACTTCGGCTCAGGTCACGATCTCATAGTCCGTGAGTTCAAGCCCCACATCAGGCTCTGTGCTGACAGCTCAGAGCCTGGAGCCTGCCTCTGATTCTGTGTCCCCCCCTCTCTCTCTGACCTTTCCCCCGCTCATGCTCCATCTCTCTCTGTCTCAAAAGTAAATAAAAACACTAAAAAATTTTTAAAAAATAAACATTAAAATAAAAAAAAAACCTGTAAAATGTCGGCTCGTGTTGAATATAATGAAATTAGGGTGTGATACTGTATCCAAATTCCTCATATTAAGTCTCTTTCTACTTAATATGCCTTGGGAGGTTTCTGTTTTTCTGTATAGGTTTCCTCCCCTATACAGACACACTGAAAGGAAACCCACAGCCACCTGAACTGGCAGAGGCTGGAAGTGTCAGTTTCCTCACTTGTAAAATAGGAGTCATAACAAAATCCATTTATTTATTTATTTAAATGTTTTATTATTTCTGAGAGAGAGAGACAGCATGAGCAGGGAAGGGTCAGAGAGAGAGGGAGACACAGAATCCAAAACAGGTTCCAGGCTCTGAGCTGTCAGCACAGAGCCCGACACAGGGCTCGAACCCACAAACCGTAAGATCATGACTTGAGTCGAAGTCGGATGCTCAACCGACTGAGCCACCCAGGTGCCCCCAAAATTTGTATCTCAAGTTGTTAGAAGGCCAGAGATAAAGCAGGTAAGGTGCTTAGCTTGGTAACTTCAGAGTCATTTTATAGCCTGCAGCTCTACCCTAAGGAGTGAGGAAGAAAGTCCTGTCCTCAGTTGAAACAAGGGAGGTGGATGAGAACTTGGAGCAGCCTCCAGCAAGAGACGGAGGTGGGGGCGCCTGTGTGGCCCCGTCCATTGAATGTCCAAATTTGGCTCAGGTCATGATCTCACGGTTTGTGGGTTCGAGCCCCATATCGGGCTCTGTGCTGACAGCTCAGAGCCTCGAGCCTGCTTCCGATTCTGTGTCTCCCTCTCTCTCTGCCCTTCCCCTGCTCACACTGTCTCTCTCTCTCTTTCTCAAAAACAAACATTAAAAAAGAGACTGAGGCGGATGAGAAACTGCCTCAAGGCAGTTACAAGATCACTCATCTTCCTTTGTTTCTGGACGAGTCAGCAGGCCTTCTGCCAAAGTTTGGGTCAGATCACAGTTAAGTTTTCCCAGTGTGGCTTATGCGGAGATGTGCAAAGTGATGGAGGTGCAGTGGAAGAACCACTCAGCACAGCACCACCCCACAGGTCATCTGCCTGTGGCGAAAAGGGAAAACAGATCTTTCTGGAGGAGATAGCTGGTGGCCATCACCATTCCCAGGGATTAGACTTGGCCAGTACTATTGGGGCAACGTGGCATCAGGTAGGTACCTCCTGACGGGAAGCAAGAAGTTAGATACACACAGAGGATTCTTGCAAAAAGTAATTAACCTGCACCTAATCAGGCCTTTAGAGCAAACTTCCAGTTTTTAAGAACTCCAGAAGATGACAGATTAGCTAACTGACACCAGGAGAAAACAATTAGGCAAATCCAGAGTGAGGGACATTCTACAAGACAGTTGGCCTGGTCTCTTAAAAAACAATCCCGTCTTGGGGCACCTGGGTGTTTCAGTTGGTTAAGCATCTGACTTCGGCTCAGGTCATGATCTCACAGTTTGTGGGTTTAAGCCCTGTGTTGGGCTCTGTGCTGACAACTCAGAGCCTGGAGCCTGTTTCTGATCCTTGTCCCCTCTCTCACTGCCCCTCCTCCCTCTCAAAAATAGACATTAAGCAAAAATTAAAAAAAAAAAATCCCATCTTATAAAAGTGGGTGGGGTGGAGCAGGGCAGCTACTGTAGAAGTTGAAAAAAATTGAAGACCTAAAAAACCAACATAGAATTTTAACCTTGATTGGATCCTGCAACAAAACACAAACAATGGTATAGAAGACTTTCGGGGTGCAGTTTGGGAAATCGGAACATCAAACATTAGGGAATTAATGTTAGTTTTTCTTAGAAGTGATAATGGTATGAAAAAACATGTCATTTGTCAGAGATACACACTTAAGTACTTAGGAGTGAGGTGTCAACATGTTTGGAACTACAGTTACTCTTGAACAAGATGTCTTTGAATTGCAAGGATCCACTTATAAGCAGATTTTAATACATATACACGCAGTCCTGTAAATGTATCTTCTCTTTACGGTTTTTAAAATAGTATTTTTTTTCTAGCTTACTTTATTGTAAGGGTAGTATATAATACATATAATATAGAAAATAATCAAGTGTTAATCGATGGTTTCTGTGGTCAGAAAGGCTTCTAGTCAGTAGTAGGCTATTAGGTTTGTTGGGGAGTCAAAATTATACAGATTTTTTTTTAACACATGGATTGTTGGCATTTGTAACCCTTGCCTTGCTCGAGGGCCGACTGTACTTTTATTAAAAAAAATTTTTTTTAATGCTTATTCATTTTTGAGACAAAGCATGAACAGAGGAGGGGCAAAAAGAGAGAGAGGGAAACACAGAACTTGAAGCAGGCTCCAGGCTCTGAGCTGTCAGCACAGAGCCCAATGTGGGGCTGGAACCCACAAATTGTAAGACCGTGACCTGAGCTGATGTTGGACGTTAAATGACTGAGCCACCAAGGCACCCCTCCAACTATACATTTCAATGGTTCAGTAAAAAGCATTATGTAGACACAAAGTAAATATGACACAATATTAACAATTGTTAAATCTAAGTTGTAGGCATAATAATTATATGGATTGTCCGTTTTTTTGTATGCCTGAAATTTTTCATAATGAAGTTTTTTTTTTTAAATGTTTATTTATTTTTGAGAGAGACAAAGTGCAAGCAGAGAAAGGGCAGAGAGAGAGGGAGACACAGAATCAGAAGCAGGCTCCAGGCTCTGAGCTGTCAGCACAAAGCCCAATGTGGGGCTTGAACTCACAAACTACATCAGGACCTGAGCCGAAGTTGGAGGCTTAATCAACTGAGACACCCAGGCGCCCCTATAATAAAGTATTTAAAGATGGAATATATATTTTAATAAATCCCTGCCCTCCTGGAAATTACATTCCAGTGTCTGTGGGGAAATGATCAAGGATGAATCAAGTAAAACATAGGGAATGTTAGGGGTTAAGTACTTACGAAACCAAAGGGGTCAAGGGCTGCAAATGCTGTGTATCAGGGTTGAAATGGTAGGTCAAGAGATCAAAGGAGAGCCTGCGTTATGTGTGAGGAAGACCTGAAGAGGGACATGCGGATATCTGGTGGAAAGGCATTCCCGGCAGGGCAAGCAGCAAGTGCAAAGGCCTCGAGGTAGGAGCCAGCCTGGTGTTATGTTGACACTTCTCGCTCGCTCACACGGTTCCCGTCACACTGAGGAGGCCAGCTTGGCAGGAACTGCAGGAGCAAATAAGAGGTGGTAGATCAGGGGGCGCCTGGGTGGCTCAGTCGGTTAAGCGTCCGACTTCGGCTTGGGTCATGATCTCGCAGTTCATGAGTTCGAGCCCCGTGCGGGCTCTGTGCTGACAGCTCAGAGCCTGGAGCCTGCTTCGGATTCTGTCTCCCTCTCTCTGCCCTTCCCCTGCTCACACTCTCTCTGTCTTTCAAAAATAAACAAACATTAAAAAAAAAAATGACCTCCAATCATCACCATGGTCAACATGGAATGGAGGCCCAGAACAGAGGGAGAAATTACACACTGTGCAGAAAACTGATCAGATGATATTAAAAGTGTATCATTAATTTCTTAGATGTAATAATGGCACTGTAATTACATGTAAAATAAATCTGCAAATCCCCAGGATTTGCTAAAAATCACCTAGAGGGAGATGGGAATTAGGGATGAAACTGATTGGTTGGTCATCTCTTGATAATTGTTAAAACTAGGTGATGGGTACACAGGCATTTTTATTATACTGTTTTCACATGGTTCAAAAATTACATTAAAAAAGTTCCTTCAAATGGCAAAGATAATAAAGGAATAATCAGATAAATTTTAGCACATACAGGGGCTTGAGGCTATTGTGTATAATCACTCACTCTACTGTCTGGTATAGAGAAGGTGGTCAGTTTAATAACATAAAACAAAACAAAGGAGAAAAAACAATCACCCTGAAGCCCCTCTTACTGGTTAAGGTACTAATTCTGCCCCAGCTTCTTGCCCGATCATCCGGCTCTTGTACACATACACAGTCTTACACTTTTCCAACGAGTATTTATTAATAGTTAAGCCATGATTCAGGATCCCAGGGTGGGGATCACCATGTACCCAGGTCCCCCTTTACCACCCTGGGAGAAGGATGGAGTTCAGAGGAGAGGTGGGTGGAGCCAGTTCAAATCTTTCCAGGAAATGTGCCTTCCGCCCGGCGGTCGTCCCAGGCTGACACCTGTGGAAACACAGCCAATGTTACTCCCTTCCGCTCTGGGGAAACCAGATGAGTAAACTGTCTTCCTCACTTTGCTCACCTGTTCAGTCAGTCAACAAGTAAGCCCAGTACTGCCACTGTGTCAGGAGTGGGGGTTGGAGGGGGACGAGTAACACGCAGAAAAATCCCATATTTACTGCAGAGCTGGCCTGGGGAGATGTGTGACCGTAAAGAGGTTCAAGAGTGTGGCTGTGCCTTATTTCAGGAACCCAGAGTTAACACTCAATGATGGTTGTCAGAATACAGGAAAGACTACCAGGCAGCTGTGAGAAAATAGGCTCATCTATGCCCCCGCATGAGGGGATCTCTAAGATACACAGTCAAGTGCAAAAAGGTGCAAAACTGAGTACAGAGTGTGATCCTACTGTTGATCACAGATGTACGCATATGGACATATAAAAAAAAAACCGGAAAGGTCCATATCAAACTGTTAACACTCCCTAGAAATAACTCTCTGCAAGCTGTGGACCTTCCTACAGGCAGTCAGAAGCACAACCGCTGACATACACACACCCTCACGCTCGCGTATACGTGCCATGTATTACAGGCAGTGGACCAAAGCATGGATAATAAGGAAGATTGAATCTGAATTCCTAGCTGCGACACCTCGGGCAAATTACTTAATCTTTCAGGGACTCAGTTTCTTGTTTTTATTTTTTTTATTTTAAATTTTTTATTTTGAGAGAGAGAACGCGCAAGCTGGGGAGGGAGGCAGAGGGTGAGAGAGAATCTTAAGTAGGCTCCGTGCCCAGCACAGAACGGGACACAGGGCTTGAACTCACAAAACCATGAGATCATGGCTTGAGCCGAAATCAAGAACTGGATGCGCTACAGACTGAGCCGTGCAGGCGCCCCTCAGGGCCTCAGGTTTTAATTGTATAACACAAGGAAAGCGATAATAGTCCCCATCTCATCCTGTTTTTCAGCATGTTTGCCCTTAGAGGATATCGAGTGCTTACAGATTAGCTGGCCCACCGTTAAGTGACGTGTATGTGGCTATTTTATTTACACACTCACACACCATGTATCCTGAATTCTCTGTACTTGAAAAAACATACATACAAAGTGAGCCACACTACGTATTATCCTGCAACTTGCTTTTCCCACAAGTCTTACAGCTCTTTCTGTATTCTGTCACGTAAATCAAGATAAATGTACCATCATTTATCTAGTTCGGGTTGTTTCTGAATTACAAACAACCCTGCAATGGACATGCTCGCACACGAGCATCTTTGTAAGTCTAGGTGTAAAAGTGCCACATGTGAGTATGTTTTTTTCCATCTTGAAAGATGTTGCCACACTGACCTCAAAAGAGACTGTACCAATTTACAGAACCACTGACACTTAGCACTGTCCACCTTTATATTTCTTGCACCAGACTGCAAGGTAAAAACGAGCTTCTCTCTGTTGTTTTAAGCTGTGTTTTCCTGATGACTTGAGTGGAGATGGACATCTTTCACGTCAGGGTTCACCTGGATTCCACAGTTCTCTATGAGTGAACTTCTGAGTCGCTGGGATTGACTCTCTTTCTGTCTCTTTTTTAATGTTTGTTTTTGAGAGAGAGACATAGCTCGAGTTGGGGAAGGGCAGAGAGGAAGGGAGACAGAATCTGAAGCAGGCTCCAGGGTTCTGAGCTGTCAGCATAGAGCCCAATGCAGGGCTCAAGCCCACAAACCATGAGATCATGAACTGAGGTGAAGTTGGATGCTTAACCGACTGAGCCACCTGGGCACTCCTCTCCATCTCTCTCTCTCTTTTTTTTTTAATGTTTTATTTATTTTTAGGAGAGAGAGAGACAGCGTGAGCAGAGGAGGGTCAGAGAGAGAGGGAGTCACAGACTGAAACAGGCTCCAGGCTCTGAACTGGCAGTCAGCACAGAGCCTGACGCGGGGCCCGAACCCACGAACCGTGAGATCATGACCCAAGCGAAAGTCGGACGCTTAACCGACTAAGCCACCCAGGCGCCCCCCTCTCCATCTCTTTTTAAAGGATCGGGCTGGTCTGATAACTTGGAAATTTCCCTTTGCCCAATAATCCCACTTCATGGAAAGGAAACTAAGGGAATCATTCAAATAGAGGGGAAAACATTTCCTGGAATGGAAATGTACACTGAAGTATCATTTAAAATAGTGAAAAAAAGATGGAATCCAGCTAAAAGGGAAGGAAATATTTTACAATTATTAAAGACGGTGGCTACCCAGTAAGTGAGCAGATGGTACAGACATGGAAGTAGGCACACAATGCATGTCAAGTAAAAACAGCAAAGCACAAAAGTGTTAGGAGTATGAGCCATATTAGTATTAAAAAGTACATAAATACTTCTACACACACACACACACACACACACACACACAAGCACACATAAAAGTAAAAGATTTATGCCAAATAACTAAGGAAAATTAACTTTAAGACTCAGAAGGGGATGGCTAGGGAGCTTTCATTTTCTACATTACATAAATCTCATGTTTTGAAGATTCGACAGCCAATGCTATTTTTTTCATGGAGAAACTCAAGATTTTTTTAACCCAGAAAATTAAAGATGGTTGGAAAAAATATTTTAAATGCCCTCCCAAAATACACACACTGGGATTAGAGACTAATTAAAAACAGTACCCAAGGAACACTTGGAAGATGCTGCAATATTATTAGTATGGTCAGGAGAATGGAGAGAACAGTTTTCTTCCCTTCCTCTATTTTTTAAGTTTTTGTGCAGTGGCTGTATTCTTTGTAAACAACAAACAGGGGTACCTGGGTGGCTCAGCTGGTTAAGTATCCGACTTCAGTTCAGGTCATGATCTCAGGGTTCAGGAGTTTGAGCCCCATGTCAGCCTCTGTGCTGACAGCTCAGAGTCTAGAGGCTGCTTCAGATTCTGTGTCCCCTCTCTCTCTGCCCCTCCCCAGCTTGCACTCCGTCTGTCCCTCTCTCTCTCAAAAATAAACATACATTAGGGAAAACTATACAATAAGAGCAATAACAAAACACTTGTTTTTACTTCACCAAGTTTTTGGAATCAAGAAGCCAGGGCAGCCAGGTACAAAAGGGACTGGGCAGAACACACGTGTATTCAGCCCTCACAGGGCAGACGCAGCAGGCAGCTGAGGGTAGGAGCCGCACAACCTGCTGCTCCCACGGTAACGCAGGTCCAGGCCCTGGGGAAGGGGCGGAGGGCGGCACTGGGACCGGAAGCACGTTTCCCAGCACTGTCCAGCATGCGCCCGACACAGGCTCTGAGGCTGGAGGAGCGATGCTAGGAATTCACATCACAGTACCCGAGATCGCCCAGGGACAAGGAGAAATCCTGGAACGGCACAGGGCACTCAAACACACAGGAGACCTTGTGGCCAGAGAGGTGAGAGCAAAGCCAAGTGAGCTGAGGAAGGCTGCATTAAGGCAATCTGTTCTCAAGAAGTAAGCCCCAAAGGCATACCTCAAGGACACTTCGAATATACTGAAAAATTAGAACATAATCTCCATCGAAAGGGAATCGGTTAAATAAAAGCATCTGAAAGTTACTAAAACATAAGACAAGTAAGGTAGATCTGTAGCCATTATTATAAAAAGAGGCTTCCAGACACACTGAGCGGTCAAAGCCATTCAGAGACTACATAGGCTGAGTCAGGCACGTGCATCCATACAGAAGCTCACAGGAAAATGGGCAGCAGCTACCGGCAGTGACCGCAGGAGGTGGCACGGGAAGCACAAGGGCCTTCTGCTTTTTATTTTACGATACTGCTCAATTTTTTTTTAAATGAGCACTATGACTTTTGTAATTTTATCATATTTTGATCCAAAGACACAAGGTTTTTGCATTTTAACATCCCTGATATTAGCATTCATTACATTCCTTTCTGGTATTTTCAAAAAGGATTTGGAAAAATAAATAAAAAAAGATTTAACCGTCTCTCAATGTTTCTTGCAGTCAAGATGATCTTTGACTTGAGGAAACAGCACAATGTTAAACATAAATATTTTGGTGGGGGGGAGCTCAATCAGAAGAACTTGGGCCCCCAAACATAAATTCTTTACTTAAAGAAGTGTGTGACCAAGAATATTAAATGGTGACAAAAGGTCTGGTCAGATCACGGCTAACTAGATTGCCTTACTGTGTCCACATCTTCTAGAGAAGCAGAGGGAAGTAGGGAGGGGTAAGAAGCCATGTTTGAGGTTTGCTTTAGAATACTTCAGCAAGAAAAGGGGACAAAAGAAGGGAATGTGGAAAAATCTTGAGAACGTTCAATTTGGGGAGTGGGTACAAATGGGAGGTCACTGAATTATTCTACTTTTATGTATAATTTGAAAATGTTCACAATAAAAAGGCAGAGAATTGAACAAGACGATGAGCCCCACAGGGACAGGCGGCCGGCACTATGCATATACTCGTGGACCGTGTGAGCAAGAAGGATCGAGCAAGGAGACGGCCCTGGGTGCCCTGGCTGGGAGCTCTGACTGGCGGAGAGTATCATTAAAAAGAGGGAAGGGAGGCAATGCCACAAAGGAAAGGTCAAGTCCTATGGACTGTGCGACGCCCTGTCCTTCCTCTGCCTCTCACAGATGGGCCCGCACTGAGTCACCAGGCTCCCTTCTGCTAAGACCCCACCCAGCGTTCAAGGGCCCCAGCAGGCAGTACATACCCAGGATATGGGGCAGAGGGACTTGTACACACGCCGGTACCATTCGCACACGGAGACATCCCCCCCTTTAGCAGTCATCGCCTTCTCGCAGCGGTGGAAGTCTGTGAAGAAAGGGGCTCAGGGTCAATCCAGACCAAGGACTGGAACACATTTTTGAAAAATGTTTATTTTTGAGAGTGAGAGAGAGAAAGGGAGAGAATCCCAAGCAGGCTCTGTGAGGTCAGTGCAGAGCCCAACTCAGGGCCTGAACTCACCAACTGTGCAATCATGACCTGAGCCCAAATCAAGAGTCCGACACTTAACCACCCAGGTGCCTCCAGAACACATTTGTGATCAAAACTCACAGAAATATGTTTTACTTCACAGCAGTTATATACACACATACACACACAAAACAAGTGTCGGAAAGAACGTATGTTCCTACAGATGTACTGAAAAAGGCTAGACAGGCCTCGCTAACTTGATCTTGTGACCCCTAGAGAACTACTGTCTGACTTGAAAATTCTGGGGTTAGGAAGGAGGCAACATGAGGAGCATGTGTGGGGATGAGGGAAGTCTAAAACCAGGGCCAGGGAAAGGTAAGATGATCTTGATGCTAAGATGCTAGCATCTTATAGAGGAAGACAGGAAGGGGATAATCTACTTTTTAAAAGTAGGCAATTATGGGGCGCCTGGATGGCTCATTTGTTCGACTGTAGGTTTCGGCTCAAACCCTGATTTTATAGTTTGTGAGTTTGAGCCTCCCCCCTCTCCCACCAGGATATGTGTTGAACAGTGGGGAGCCTGCTTGGGATCCTCTCCATCGGCCCCTCCCCTGTTGGGGCTCTCTCTCTCTCTCAAAATAAACTAAAAAAAACAAAAACAAACAAAAAAAAAAACCACCTTTAAAAGGTAGGCAATTAAGGGGCGCCTGGCTGGCTCTGCTGGTAGAGCAGGTAACTCTTGATCTTGAAGCTGTGAGTTTGAGCCCCACACTGCGTGCAGAGATTACTTAAAAATAAAATCTTTAAAATAAATAAATAAATAAAATCAAAGTAGGCAATTACTAAAAACAAGAAACAAAAAACAAAAAAAAAAACCCAACTCCATATATTCTACTTCTGGGCACATTCCCAACAAAGAAAAGCATTCATATGCACAACAAATTACACAGAAAGTTTATAACATCATCATTCATAAAAGCCCCCAATTGGAAACCACGCAAGGGTCCAGGAATAAATTATGGAAAATTATACATGATGAAAATGACGAAACTATACATCACAGCATGGATGAATCTTCAAAACTGCTGAATAAAGAAATTCAAAAACCGAAAATATGTATGATGTTTATAAAGTTCATCAAGAGGCAAACCTAAAAGCAGCGATAAAACCAAAATGTGATTGCCTTAAGTTGGGAAGGTTCCATCCCTAGTGGGGAGAGTAGGATGTTGTGCTCAAGACCACGCATGCAGTAGGCTCAAGACTGTGCATGCAGTAGGCAGGGAAGCTCAGGACGCTGGCCAGTACCTAATTTTCTATCCAGGTTATAGTTACACAAAGGATGCACTGTAGTATCATTCGTTTAGGTGTTTAGGTGTGCATTATGCTTTATGTATTTCCTGTATGTATGTTACATCTGTCACATACACACACAAATAAGTCCCCCCCCCCCCCAAAATCATTATAGGAACCAAAGATTGTGACCCTGTCCTAGATCCTGGGACTCGAACACAGCTGTGATGAGGGGCCTGGGTCTTCAAGGCGGGATGTCCAGAACAAAAAAGAAGAGGCCCTGGGATGTACAGATTCAATAGGAGACAACAGATAAGCAACATGAGGTGTGGGACCAGGAAAAGGTCTGCACCCCCTCCCACGCCCATGCCCTGCTTACCCAGGTAATTCTGCCAGCAGTTTCTGGTCTGGTTCTGGTTGGGGAAGCGGCTGTCAAAAGGAGCAGTCTGGTAGTTCTTGATTTTGGTCTTGATGTCTTCTGCCATTTTGCAGAGTCCTGGGGGCACAGACAATGGAGGTTGGCCAAAGTTCTAGGAGGCCTGGGCAGGGGGAGGTCAGCCCACCCAGACACAGAATAATGGGGTAGCTTAGGTGTGAATAAGCCACCACCTTCTACCTCTCAGCATATACAAACAGAGGTAAAGGGTGGGACAAATCCACAAATCTAAGTATGGAAGTCACAGCAGGGCTTGTGGGGGGTGGGGGTGGGGAGTGAAGACTCTTTAGCATAATCAGGCTTTATTCGTTCCAGAATAACAGTGACTAACCTTCACTGAGTACTCAGTATAAGCCAAGCATAGTTCTACACATTTAACTCCTACAGCCACTCTAAAAGCTAGGAAGTATTATTATCACAGTTTTACAGACAAGGAGCAGGGTGTCTAAGTGACTTCCCAAGGTCATACAAGTGGAGGAGCCTCACTCAATCACGGGCAGAACCTACACTGCGGAGGTTTTTAATCTCTTCGGTGGTATGAACTCCTCAGGGGTCTAATGAACCCTTTCTCAGAATATTTTTTAATGCACTAAGAAATTGCATACGACCATAAAGAAAACCAGCTGTATGCAGCTGAGGATTTGTTAACTACCACAATTTTGAAGCAATTATGAGTGAAAATGCATTCTGTGACACGTGCAACCATAATGTGATATAAGATGAGCTGTGATTTTGATTGCTGACTAAGGGACAGATGATGCTAATATTACCAAGGTTGATCCCTCCATTCCTAAGAGAGGGAAATGCTACATTTAAATTAGAGATTAAGAAAAATAAAGGAGTGCCTGGATGGCTTAGTCTGTTAAGCCTCCAACTCTTGATTCCGGCTCAGGTTATATCTCATAGTTGGCGAGTTGGAGGCTTGCATCTGGCTGTGTTGACAAGCGAGGAGCCTGCTTGGGATTCTCGGTCTCCCTCTCTCTCTGCCCCTCCCCGTTCTCTCTCTCTCAAAAATAAATAAACTTTTAAAAAGAAAGACGAATTAAAAAAGACATTAGGAAAAATACATACGTAATTCTCCCCCACTCAAGTACTAGGACACCTTGCATTCTATGGACTTTGCAGACCCAGAGTAAAAACCTCTGCTATAAGCAATCTCTCTTACGAGGTGACAGTTTTCTCCAGGGAATGTGAAACTGCCTCTATTCCAGAGAATTCGAAGAGTGATGGGGTTACAAAGAAGTCAGCAGGCCAGTGTTAAATTCAAGGGACCCAAGGTAGTGGTGGGGATCTGGGGCATCTCAGTAGAGTCTTCGGGGTGAAAGCGTAGAAGGGCGTGGGGAGGGGACGTAGAATACCAGCGCGGGGACATAGCGTTCAGAAGTGTTTTGGGGGGAGACCTGGGAGGCAGAGTGGCTCAGGGATGACTCTGAGGCCCCTTCAACGTCCAAGCGGCAGGAGAGTCCAGAAACCAGGGAGCCACGCCTGCGGCCTGGTGGCTGAAGGCACTACAGTCCAAACTACGGAATCCAAACCGTGGTCGCTGGCTTAATATCGCTGATCCTGTCAAAAGGGGATAATTACAGGCCCCTCCTCATAGGACTGGAGGGAAGATTAAGTGAATTAATAAAGTTGTGTGAAATGTTACCTGGCATTAAGGAAGACCTAATCGTTAGCTAGCACTACTAACAGAACAGGACCCTAGGGACCAGGGAGGCCAGGCGCCGCCGGCCGGAAACTCACTTCGTCCTCGGGGAAACTAGGGTCCGGTTCCTCAGTTCCCCAGCATAGGGTCCCACCTTCCCAAGCCCCGGACACTCACCGAAAGACACCCCCGAAGCACCTCGCAGTTCAATGTGACCCTCAGCAAAGACGCCAGAGTCGGAGCGGAAGCGGAATTGAGACCGGCCGGAAGCGGAGCGAGTCAACGTCTGTGAGAGTCTTCCGCGAGGCTAGAACGCCCGCGGGGAGGCCGTCTCCGTTGACATTAGGGCCACGCCCATCCGGGGAGAACTCCGAAATCCTATTGGGCTGAATGCCTGTTGATCATCACTCCCGGCCCAATCGTGAGCTTGCGTGGGCATTTCAAAGTTCCGCTTGAGACCCCCTGGTTATAGGTTCTCATCTTGTTTTTATCTAGGTAAAGAAGTTTTGAGTCCTGCGACTATCGTAGAGTGGATCGGGGCAAATATCCCCGCGGATATTCATGCAGGTATTGCTTATTTAACGCTTACCCCGCGCCAGGTACTTCGATAAGGGTTGGGGATGCATCACTGAACAAAACATGAGTAGTCCCTACCCTCTTCATGATTATTACGGGATCAATTGTTAGGGGTTTGAAATCGAACCAGTCTTTCTCCCAGGGTCATTTGTAATACTGTGAGGAATATCCAGACTCCACCTCCCTGTACATTACCGTTTTTCCCTAAACCTCGGAAGGCACAAATTAACAGAGATTTGGGTGCTTGAAGACTCAAACCAAAGTCCTGCATCACAAAGAGGAGGGGTTAAGAATAAAAGCTTGAGTCTGCAGAAATCAGTTCATCTCAGAAAGTGACACATCTGTTCTTCTAGTCACAGAGGTATCCCTGACTCTTCTTCTCACACCGCACAGCTAGCTGATCAAGAAATCCTGTTGGCTCTGCCTGAAGCAATCTATCCAGAATCTTCTCCGACATCTGGTTCAAGCCACAGGCACAGCCAGCCTAGGCTATAGAAGTAGCCCACTCCCGGCCTCCTGGTTTCCCTGCTGCCCTCCACAGTCATCCACTCAGCCAGAGAGATCCTGTTAACTCCCCAGTCATCACTTCCCTTTGGCTTAGAACCCTCTCCCTGGGTCTTGTCTGACTCTGTCAAAAGCGAAAGTCCTTACAAATGACCTATACAGTTTGGTCCCTCTTATACCCTCATTTTCTATCCTTCTCTTTACTCCCACTGCTCCATCCACACTGGCCTCTTCCTGCTTAAACATGCAGGCTGATTTCCCTCTAAGGGCCTTTTGCATTTGCTGTCCCCTTGGCCTGGAATGCTCTTAGTGAAGCTGGCTCTGTCCATCACTTCCTTCAGGTCTTTGCTTCAATGTCACCTTGTTGGTGAGCCCTTCTCAGAACAGGTATTTAAAATTGGCATCTTGTCAGCCCATAGGAGAACCACTCTTTAGGGGCTCAGTGGTTCCCAGAATGGGGTACACACACTCTCCTTGGGATCTAGATCCAAGTCCAACCACCCTCAACTTGGAGTGGGGAGACAGTAGGTGGTTTGGGGGATCTAGCACTAAGTCTAATTCCTTAAAGGTCCCAAGCACGGGGAGAACACACATAAGCTCTTTTTTGGAGTCTTGAGTCCTCTCTTAAGAAGGGATACAGTAGGTAAACTCAAAAGTTAGTGATTGGGTCAGATTTCTTTACAAGTCCCAGCACAGGCAGGCACACAGTAGGCCCTGAAGGGACTGAGTTGATTCCTTGGAATATCCGGTCACACAGTGAGCACACAAGTAGGTCCCCTAAGGGTCTGGGTGTGTTTTAGTCATGGCATGTCTTAGGATCACATAGGCTGGGGCTGGGGGTAGGATGTGAGTGTGGTGGTGCACGCCTAAGGGTCCCTAGTGGGTTTAGTCAGTATCAGTGGGAAGGATGCAGGCAGCACACACGACTAATTTGACGGGATATCTTTATTGGGTCGCACCTCCCTGTCCATCCCCCGCGCAGTCGGTATGGGCCAGGCCGGGTACGCGGCCCCCGAAACGGTAAGTGTACTTGCGCCCACCGCTCTTGCGCACGATGTCGCGGCGGTAGTAGTAGCGTAGGCCTCGGCTCAGCTTCTCATAGTTCATGCCGGGCTTCCTCTTGCGCTCACCCCAGAGCCGTGCCACCTAGGACGGAGGCTGGGCTTAGTCTGAGAGGTCAGCAGGGAGCGGGGCTAGGCAACCGACACGCGGGGCGGGGCACGCGGTTTCGGGTAAGTTCTGGGCAAGACTTAGTCCCTTTAACTCCCGCTGGGGTAAAGCTGAGTACGAGATAGGGGCGGGGCCAAGTGCTAGGGAAACTGCCTCGGCTAAATTGAACTGAAGGAGATTGGGGCGGGACTTGGCGGGTCTGGGAAGCTGCCCCACCTCTCTGGGGTCACACAGCTGGAACTCGCGGCTGTTGCCCGTCCAGCGGATGCAGTTGCTACGCTCCCCGTCTCGTAGCAGCTCCAGGAGGAACTGCCACAGCTGAATGGGACCTGCGGAGTACGGGCAGGTGAACACACAGGCTTCCTAGCCCCAGACCAAGTCGCTTCGATGACCCAGATGTCCGGGGCTCCTTCACCTCGAAGGTCCACGCGTCCGGTTTTCCCAACTTGGGGCCCTCTGGAGTCCATCCCCTCCTCCTTCGGGCCCAACGAGTCCGGATCCCTTCATATAAGGATCCCCCAAATCGGCCTCAGGGACCCAGGCAGCCGGGGGCCCCATCTGAAACTTAGGAGTGTGACTGTCACATCTTCGGAGACTCAGACATCCAGACCCTCACCTCTTTCCTCTCAACTAATCTAGGAGCCTAGGTTCTGGTCTCTTGCTCCCTAGAAGACTACGAGTGTCTTTGTCCTCCCCTCCCTCAGGACCCAACTGCCACCACCTAGCTCCGTCTCTTAGGTAACAGCCGCGCCCCCTCACTTCCAGTTTCCTGGGTCCAGCCCTTACGCGCCTAGGCCCCGCCTCATTAGATTCTGGTCTTGCGGACCCCTCACCTCGATGGTTACTTTTGGGGTAACAAGCCAAGGTTGTGCGGTTCGACTGCTGGCTTGGCTCGGAGGACGTGGTGAGATCTGAAGGCTGGTATCCCTTTGAAGAGGTGGTGCAGTCCGTATGCAGCCCCGAGACCCAGGGGGTGGTATAGTCTGAGCCCGCAGGTCCACCCCACGAAATGGTAGAGTCCGCGAGAGGCTCCCCGCAGAGGCCCTTGGCCCAGTAGGTGGCGGTGTCGAGGCCAACAGAACTGTCCCAGTTGGTGGAGCTGGCGGCAGCCTGGGCACAGGACCACGAGTTGGTCCCTCCCGCGGAGGTGGCACAGTTCTGAGCCGCTGCCCCTGCACAACCAGCGAAGGGGGCGGGGCCCAGGCCGGGAGGGGCGGGGCTCAGGGCCTGGGAGAAGCCGTTCCAGTGGTCCGAGCCGTTGCACGCCAAGTCTGCCCAGTCTCCCGACCACGGAAGAGCCTGACGGGCGGGCTCTGTGAGGAGTAACAGACCTCAAGTGAGGGTAGCCCTGGTGTCCCGGTCCCCGGCCCGAGGGTTCTTAGGGTCTAAGCTCCTGGGCTCCCGGATCTAGGCCATGCCACCTCGAGGACACAGGCGTTCCCCGTCCTCGCCCCGTTCCCCTCAAAGATCGAGTAGGTTAAACCGCTAGCTACGGTGGAGGACCCCAGTCCCTTTCTTCCTTCGCCTCTGCAAATACACTCACCAGCCCCCCATGGAGCGTCTACGTGCGGTAACGCGGAGCCCCAGTCCAGCGGCGAGAGTCCTGCGAGGGATAAGAACGAGCAGAGTTTACGGAAGGGTACGAGCAGTGACTAGTGACGCCCCCTCGACCACTCACCCAGCAGTCTTTATTTTTCAGGGAATGAGTTATTACCTCCAGCCCCTACTCACGCAGACCTAGAACTCAGGACCCTGGCCTCGACCTCTTTGAACCTCAGAACTTCAAGCCCGCAGCCCTCCTCCCATTCTGCCTCCGGACACGCCCCTCTTCCTCCCTCAGTCCCAGGAGCCCAGCCTCTCACCTTCCTCGGCTCCCAGGGGTCCCAGCCCACAACCACCTTTCCAGCGTGTCTCCGCGGTCAGCGTGTCCCCTGGGAGGGCCAGCTCAGGGAAATAGAAGCCGAGTTCAGCGCCTTCTGCAGGCAATGAGGAGGTTAGGGCTGGGTGGGGGTCAGCAGAGGCCCCCACCTGTGCACCCTCCCCATGCAGTGACTCAGGGCAGCAGCCTACCCAGCCCTGACAGCCCGTTCCCTGGGGGCACTTCCTGTGGTGAAGCTTCATCCCAGTTCCACAAGTCCATGGATGTTCCTTGTGAATGTTCTGGGCAGGGGAAAAAGGAGGAAGGGGTGAGCCGGTGACACTTAAGGATCCTGGAGTCCAGCCATAGACCTTGCTTCCCTCAGACCCAGGAGTCCAGGACTTTTATCCCTCCTTCCCCAGGACCCTAGAATCTTGGCCTCCAGTGTCCTTTTTCTCGCAGACTAGGAGTAGGGGCCCTCAGCCCTCTCCCTCCTTCAGACCCAAGAGTCCAGGCCCCCAGACTTCCAGTCCCCAGTTCATGGCTCACCTCTGGCGGGTTTCTCTGTCCCCAGCCAGGGGTCTCAGCCCCATTTCATACCATGCAACCCCCTCCCCTGGGGGCCTGGGCAGGGGGGAATTTTCCGAGACGTCAGAGCTGGGGGTCGCAGCTGGGTCGAGTTGCAGGGACAGAGGCGGGGCCAAGCATCAAGCATCCCCCCCCACGCCCCAGGGATGGCCTTCCACCACCTGACAGCTACGGGTATCCTGTTGCGGGGGTGGCTTGGACTTGGACAGGAGCTTTGGGAAGAGTGGTCTGTGCGAGACCCGGGGTGCAGAGGGGAGTTTACGGGGTGATGGGGGCGGGGTGGGGGGCTTGGTGGCCAGGTTCTCTGTCTTGGGTCTTGATCCTGCGACATGGGGAGTAGGGGGAGGGTCTGGGGTCAGCTAGGCTGTGCCAGGCTTATCTGGAACAGGAAGGGGGATTTCCGGCCAGATCCCAGGTCAGCCTACGTCACAATCTGCAGGGGGACTGTGGGGAGGTGGGAGTGGGGTGAGGTGGGGGTGGGGAGTGGGTGGGGAGGAAGGATATGGTTGGGGGAAGCTGACCCAGAGGGCTTTGAGGACATTCTGGGGCTGCTCTTGAGGAGTGTCAATCATGGTACCAGGATCAACAATATAAACAATAATGACAGTACTTCTAATAGCCAACATTTATTGAGGGCTCATTGTGTGCCATCGACTGTGTCACGGGGTTTTCGTTTAATCTTTTCATGACGTAGGTACTAGTCTTCATATTATGAAAGGGAAAATGAAAGACTTCCTTCCACTTGTTTCATGGTCAGAATCCATGCCCTTCCATGCTATAATAGTTTGAGACAAATGGGGAAAATTTGAGTATGAACTGAATATGAGATATAGAATTATTCATTTTCTTAGATGTGATCATGGTATTATGACATGAAAGATGTCTCTATAAGGAAACAGACATATATTTAGGGGCAAAGTGTTATGATGTCTGTAATTTATTTCATATGATTCGGACGCTCCCCCCCCCATACGTATAACATATACATATACACATGCAATAGTTGGGACTTTCTTATACTAAAACATCATTTGTTGTTTATCTGAACTTCACATTTAACTAGGTGTCCTGTATTTTTATTTCCTAAACCTGGTAGCCCTAAACCCAGGTGGCTTGGCCTCAGAGCCTGTGGTTGTACCAATTATGCTGTATTAATAAGTATTTGCCGTTAAGAATAACCTCTTTAGGGGCATCTGGGTGGCTTAGTCGGTTAAGTGTCCGGCTTTCACTAGGTCATGATCTCGCGGTTCGTGGGTTCGAGCCCCGCGTCGGGCTCTGTGCTGACTGCCAGCTCAGGGCCTGGAGCCTGTTTCAGTCTGTGACTCCCTCTCTCTCTGACCCTCCCCTGCTCACGCTCTCTCTCCCAGAAATAAATAAAACATTAAAAAAATAAATAAATGTGTTAAAAAAAAAGAATAACCTCTTTAATATGGGCATTTTCCACTATTCACCGTGCTTGACCACTAACCATTTCCCATTCTGAGGCGGGGAGGATGGGTGTGTGAGCACTGCTCTTCTGCTGGTGCTCTAGGAGGGAAACTGGGCTTTACAAGGGAGAGCCACTTCCCAGGGCACATGAAGGCAGGGTGGATGGTGTCGGGACTGGCCTCAGCACTGGGTGAGCAAAGAGCTCCCATGCCACTGCTCCACCATCTACCCAAGGGCTTGCAGGGTACCCTAACCTGCTGTCCCCCACCAGGCCCCTGGCCACCTCTCCCTGAAGCTCGTCTCTCTCCTGTTAGCCTCCATGACTCTCTATCCTAGGTTGGTGTCCCTGGCTCTGGGTCTCTGTTGCACCAGGCCTGATCCAGTGAGGCCTTGTCACCCAGTCTCTTCTGCTGAGTCTCAGTCCCTCCCCATCTCTCTCCTTACTTCCTTATCTCTCAGTCTCTCTCTCTCTCTCTGGGTTTTCTCCCCATCTCCCCTCCCATTGTACTGCCTTGAGCTGCAGTTCTCGCCTCTCCACCTGTCTCCCTCCCCATCGCTCCCATCTCTGCTTGCTACATCCTCCCCATCTCTGTCCATTTGTCTCCCAACCCCAGCGAGTGTTCTCTCCCTTTCCTCAGGAGGACTTCAACACACACATTTAAAAGCTTCATTTTTGGTATCATTCCCTCTTCCCATCTCCTCTCTTGTTGCCCTGACTGAAGTGAGCAGAAGGGGGTCAGGAGCAGGGAGGGCTAGTGATGTGGGGGTAGGGTTTGAGGGTCCTGGGGCTGGGTTGTCTAGGCCAGGTGGCAGGGGGCTGAAGGGCACTTCCTGGGAGGGAGGGAGGCCCTCCCCCTTCTAACCAGACTGGAAAATGTGACGTCAGAGAGGGAGCAGTAAGGGAGGAAGGCGGGAACCGAGGAAATTTGACACCTCTCCTGGGTAATCAGCTTCCCGCAGAGGTCTCGGCATGGTTTCCTTCCTCCTCCCTGTGTCCCCTCTCAACCCAGGGTTCTGCTGGCTATGCCCCGGGAGACCCTCATCCCCTCCGCGTGCTTGAATCGTGTAGGATTCCTCCTCTGCCTGGTTCCTGCCCCAGCCTCTTTCAGACCTCCAGTCCACAGCATGGCAGTCTCAGGGCTGTTTCTAAAGTGCAAATCTGACGCCAGGCCCCTGCGTGAACTTGGTTTAAGCTTCTTAGGGCTTGCTGCTGCCTTTAAGGCAAAGTCTAAGCTCTCAGTCTAATGTTCAAGATTCTGCTTGGACACTTCTTCTGACAGGCAGAGTCAAGCTTGGGGCTGGGAAAAGAGAGACCCACAGTTGCAGAGAAAGAATAGAAACTCAGAGAGATACAGACACTTAGAGACAAGAAACGGGCACTCACAGAGACATTCAGGGAAAAAGACACAGAGAAACACTCGAGGATGCCCACACGGACGGACAGCAAGGGAAGGTGGCTGGGGTTTGGCAGAGTGAAGAAACTGGAAAACAGTCTGAGATCCAAACGATGAGAACTGCAGACACTGGGAGAGAATGACACGAAGAGCATGAGACAGAGTCAGAAGTGGGGAGTTCCTTCAGGAAGCCCTCCCTGATTGCCAGGTCAGCACCCTGGGCTCCTCCATCCTGACCTCGACCACTCTGGGCTCTCGCTGTGTGGCAACAGGCCTATCTTCTGCCACTGGACCATGTGCTCTGAGGGGACAGGGTCTGGGACTGCTTCAGTCACCACTTCAGCACTGGCTAGGCCTTCGGTGAGGCTGCTGAATGGATGAAAGCCTGGAAGGCTGTGAGCTCCAGAAGGGCAGGGCCCAGAAGACCTCCTACCTTGGTGCTGAGAACACAGGCTGGAGTCAGAAGACAACTGGTCTGAGTCTCAGCTCTGCTTTGGCCTTGCTATAAGCCTCTGCCTCCTCCTCTGTGGAATGGGCTGCACTCAGCACACAGGAGGTTTCAGGAAGATGTAACGGGCACTGAAAATGTCCATTTGCATGTCTGTCTAGGTAAACCTGTGAAGCTCCTCACTATTCCCACGTCTGGGGATATCAAGCCCTGTTCCCCAAAGAGTGCTTCCAAGCCCAGCCAGGGATGGAAATAACGTAAATTTATTGAAACTGGTTTTGGGGAGGGTGGATGGGTGGATAGTTGAGGATCTTCCAAAGAGAATTGGGGGAAGAGCCAGCGCCCGGCCAGGTGGGAGCGGGTGCCTGGCCACAGACCCTATCTGAGGCCCAGTTTCTTCTTCTCCTTCTGCTTCTTGCGCACCACATCCAGGTTCCGGTCCTTCCACATACTCTTGCGCAGCTTGATGGGGCGCGAGCCCACATACTTCCCTGTGGGAATGGAGGGTTCAAGGTCAGGCTTAGGCCAGATGTTGGTCACACCCACTGTCCCTAAGAGAGGTCTCACCTACCATTCATCTCACGCATGGCGCGCACATAGTCACTGGGGTCCTTAAAGCTGACGAAGCCATAGCCCTTGGTCTTGCCTGTGCGCTTGTCTCGGATCACCTTAGCCTTAAGGAAGGACGGGAAGCGGCTGAAGGCGCGTGCCAAGATGTCATCGTTCACTTCATTGCCCAAATCCCCACAGAAGATCCGGAAATCATCTGGGGTTGGGAGAGAGGACGTCAGAAGATGCAGATGCCTGGCCCGGTATCTGCTTTATTTAAAGAGCCCCACCTTCTCTGAAGGCATCCCCCAAACCCTCCTGCCTTTGTATCCCCAACGGTTTCTGACTGGGGCTCTCTCAGTAATAACAGCCAACGCCTGTATGGTATTTACCCTGTGCTAGATTCAGCTAAGCACTCATGACGTTTTAACACATCTGGCACTCCCAACAACCCTTTTACACAGAGGCACGGAGACGTCATGCTACCTGCCCAATGTTACACAACTAGGAAGTGGCAGAGCTGGGACAAGAACTCTGGCACCTGACTCCAGAGTCCTCACCTTTACCGGCCTGCACTGCTCTTCCCCACCCTAGGGCCATGTTCTCCATTCCCATGAGTTAAGTCTCCAACTCTGTCCTAGCCAGGCCTCTCCTCTGAGCCCCCAGCATCCCTTGGTCCCCATGGATATCCCCTGGGCCCCTGACACCCATTTGTTTTACAGAAAGCCCATTCCAATTCCCTCTTGAGTCTCAAATGTGAACACACTGTTGGATCCTTCTCCAAGGCTGACCTCGGCTGCCATTCCCGAGCACATCCTCTGGGCTGGGCCTGAGCCAGACTGACGCCCAAAGAATCCCTTCCCCCACAAGGCACA